CTGCCTAACCTCTCCTCACCCTATGGAATGACATCTCCCCCTCAATGGGCACGACTTCAGGAACCCCCACCTTGGGTCAGCAAAGCTCGCCCGGGGACGCAATGAATTTTCCCTTCCTTTGAGAAAGTTTAGCCTGGCTCCCCTTTTCATTACGGCGCCAAACCTTTCATCTTCGTGCCCGAAACCCAGAAGGCTGTGTCCCCAGCGCCAGGGCTGCCTTCTCGTCCCTGGGACCTCTCCTCTCCATTGCAGACGCCTCACATCGACCACAGGCCTTGATCCTTGGGGTGAGTCACCTGCCTGACCCTCCTTCCTGGGAGTCCCTCACCACTGGTTACCCAGATCCTCTCCTCACCCCCTATCCTGGTCAACTGTTCCATAAACCACGGGCCTACGCCAGTCGACCCCCATTGCTCCTGGTTCTGGTATTGGGGAAGCCCGTCCAGCCCAGGTGTCCCAGTCCAGGGGACAACTGAGCTGTGGGGACGTCCCCCTCGCCCGCCTGCCCCCATTCCAAAGGCCAGGACCGGGTCATGGGATGCCTCAACTCGGGGCCTGTGCCCCCATAGGTCAGATGAGGTGGTGAGATGCTGCAGTCCTAAGTCTGTACCCCCATTCGTTGGGAAGAGGAGCTGACTTAGCCATTGGGTCCACAAATTCCAAGCCGAGCCAGGCCACCCCTCTGGGACACCTTCTCCAACCTTGATCCACTGGGACTCAGGCCAGATCTGCGCCTCAGCGTCTTGTCTTCTCCTACAACACTGCATGGCCTCAGTGCCCATTGGGGAATGGCTCTCACTGGCCGGGACATGGCGCTTTCCATTTCATGGTCCTTACAGACCTAAACAGTCTCTGTCACTGCAATGGAACATGGTCAGAGATCCCTCATGTCCAGGCTTGCTTTCTCATGTGCTCCAGTCCCTCCCTCCTGCAAACCAGTTGTACTTCCCAAGTCTCCAGACTCCTCGCACTCTTCACCCTCTCCAGACCCCTCTTCTGCATTCTCTGATCCTCTAGATGTTCAGTCTTTACCTCTTTCAGCTCCCCAATCCAGCCCCCCTTCCACCTCCCAGCCACCACACCTGCTCTCACTGCCGTCCTCTTTGTCCCCTTAGGGAGGCTGTGGGGACTGAAGGAGCAGGTGGAGTCCACAATCCTTTCCCGCTGTCTGATCTCTCCCAGATTGAAAAGTGTCTCGGCTGTTTCACTAACGACCCCACTACCTACAACAAAGAATTTCGTTATCTTACCCAAGGTTACACCTAAGGTTACACCTATAACCTTCCGTGTCATGATTACATGTTATCCTCTCTTCCACCCTGACCTCTAATCACAGAGAACGTGTTTTTCAGTCTGCTCGAGGCCACACAGATCAGGTCCACTTCACCGACACGACCATGCCCCCAGGCCCTGAAGCAGGTCCCTGCCAGGAGCCTGGCCGGGAATACCAGACTGACACTGACGCGGGTCGCGGGGGCAGAGCTCACTGAGACGCTTCATCCCCTGCCTCTTAGCCGGACTCCAAGTAGCAGCTGGTCTCCAAGGTGGTTAATTTTGACAAGCTGCGAGAGATCACCTAGTTCCACCCCGTATGGAGGAGTATGGCGACTATAAACAACAGCGAAGAGCATGTGGCTGCTAGAACTGCTCATAAACCTGCCCGGAATGGGTTGGTTGTGTTACAACTGGCGTAGACAGCAGGACGGTTCAAAGCAGGATGGCTCTATGCAGAGGAAATCCTTCGCAACCTGGGGAGGGATTGCTGGGTAGTCGGCCACGAGCAGAAGGTACTCGATGGCCGACCTCCTTGCCAAGGGAGCACCTCCACAGGAATGGCCAGAGGTGGATGGATCCCCGGGGCAGTTGGAACAGGCCCTGCATGAAATAGAAGAAACCCTGAATGCATGCAGTGCCCGCGAGCGGGCAGGAGCCGTGGAATGGGTGGTCATCACAGCTCTGCTTGAGTCCAGGCAGAAAGAGCAATCTAGAATCCAGCAAGTACGGGATGAGATGAGGGAAAAGATGCAGAAACTGCAACAACATTTGAGGATCTGGAGGAAGAAGTTTGGAGAAACCAACCCACCATTCAAGAGATGCCAGACTCTGTCTCAGAAAGGAAGGAGAGGGAGGTTGACCCTTTGCCAGAATCTCAGCCATTGATGGCAAACCAACCTGCGATGCTGGAAATGCCAGATTCCTCTGGAGAGGAGGAGGAGGCTGGTCCCATTCTCTGGGCCCGCCCGGAGGTGACTCAGAAAATGAAGCAGCAGTGACCCATGGCCCCAGGTGCTCAGGCTGCTGGACCACCACAAATGACAGAATTTACTACCTATCGACCATACACCCAGGCGGAACTGGTGGACTTGGCAAACATTTCCACCAGAAACTCGGGGAACCCTTGGCAGCCTGGCTGCTATGTTTAGGGGACTGGGGGTGGATGGGTTATTCGCACAGCACAAGAGACGGAAAGACTGGCCTCCGTGACTTTACACTCATCCTTGTGACAGAGGCTGCAGAACAGCCGATGGTATTGCCAGGGTGACCACACCCTCTGGGAATGGATAATGGCTGCCATATGGACAGTCTGGGCTGATGCAGGAGACGTGCCAGACACAGTAAGCGGATGACAGACATACGCCAAGCTGGTACAGGTACTTCAGGAATTGGGGATGTGGCAGGCCATGTTTAATGTGAATACCTGTGATCCTGATGACAAATGTTTCACAGCAGAGATGAGAGACTTGAATGACCCCTTGTCCTCATTTGGATCCCTCCTGGGAGTTCTAGCACCCTATGTAGGACGTCAGCTACACGACATCACAAGAATGATAGCCAGCTTGGGTGAAGTAGAGAGCCAGCGCTCTCAAACTCAGAGAAAACGGGTAGTTATTGAAAAGTCAAAAGGAATGTCAAGGAGGGAAAGGAAGCCTCTTGGCATCACAGAACCTATTAAAGTCACCCGTAACCAAATGTGGACAGATTTAGTGAAAGCAGGTGTAGATAGCACTAAAATACACGCACAGCCCAATGCATATTTGTTGGAATTATGGCAGCAGCTGCAAGACCAGAGATTGACGCCCATGAGAAGGACTGCTGGTCAGCAGAGCCTGCAAGCTCCAAGCCTCAGGTGTGTGCCCTGCGCCTGGAAGACCACTTGCTGCCAACCCCATCCTGGGTGATGGCCTGATCACCTTCAAGTAGGGTGAGGGCCAAGGAACCTGCCCACAGGGAACAGGTGGGGACCAGAGGCCACATGTGGAGCTTGCCATCCACTGGTCCCCGACTAACGTGCAAAGTGTTTTAGCTCTGGTAGACACAAGAGCACAATGTACTCTGCACTATGGAAATCCAGGAAGATTTCATGGGTCTACTTGTTTTATTGATGGCTATGGAGGCCAGACTGTCAAGGTGACAGCAGTGAGACTATCTCTGCGGATTGGGCGATTACCCCCGAAAGAGTATAAAGTATATGTATCGCCCATTCGCCCATCCCGGAGTACATCCTGGGGGTGGATGTACTACATGACTTATGGCTAGAGACCACAGCTGCAGTGTTTCGCCTTACGGTGCGTGTGGTAAAGGCAGTGGTGAGAGGACACGCTAAGCCTCCGCCCATACAACTGCCAGTTCCTAGGCGAGTGACTCATACCAAGCCATATTGGTTGCCTGCAGGCTACAGGAAATTACGGGCACAATAGCAGAACTGGAGAAAGCGGGCATTGTGCGCACTACCCACAGCCCCAATAATTCTCCCCTGTGGCTGGTGAAGAAGCCTGATGGCTCTTGGCGCATGAGGGTAGATTATCACTCGTTAAAAAAGCTAGTTCCCGCCTTGCATGCTGCAGTGCCTTCGGCAGCAGATTTGGTGGGTCACCTGCTGGTGCCAATAAATGTCTTTTGCCACTAGGTTGGTACCTCACCTGGACTAACTTGTGTTCTGTTGTATTTTGTTGTTATATTGTGATGTGTACTATTTACTATTGTGGGCCATGGCTGCATTGTTTATGTTTGCTAAGAAAAAAAAAATTGTATATATGTAGATTGTCTGGCAGAAAACCCTGAGGGGGTGGACTGTAGGGTAAGGTAAAAAGTATCAGGCTTTTCTGCCCTCCCGCCATTAGGAGAGATGACGGAACCCTGCGGGCCTGAACGCAGGCCTGATGGCGGCACCTGGAGTAGGGTGGGGGTGCAGTGTCGAGGGTGGAGGAGAACAGTGGTCTCCTCCCATGACACCTGACCCTACCCCTCCCAGTCAAGCCAGGGCACCAGCCTAGGTCACTCACCCTCAGGCAGCTCCTCCATGGGCTTTATGGACTCCAGCCAGTTCCTATGGACATGTGCGACAAACTCAATGTTGCGGGTGCGCTTTAAACTGGATTCTGCTCTGGGTGGGATCCCACTCTGGGCGGAGGGAGGCCAGTTGCTGAAATGCGCTCCCCTGGGCCTCCTCAGTTACCTGGACACAGAGCACCTTCTGGGAGCAAACAGACACACCTGCTGGGTAGCACTGAACTGTGGCAAGAGGGAGCGGCCATGACTCTCAGGGTCCCACCACCATCCAGGCTGGTCCTGGTGTAGACATCACGCACCTCCTGGGTGGGCCAGAACCTCGTTCCTTGAGCACGCACACACTCACTCTCACCGCTCGCAGACCTGCACTCATCGGGGAGAGGGAGGGGTGGAGTCATCAGAGCCCTGGTGTGGCCTGACCTGTCCCCAGGGCCCCCCTAGTTACCTCAGGGGCAGTGCTGCCTGTTGGCCTGAGATGTCGACACAGGCACCTCATGCCTTTCAGCAGAGTGCGACATGCGTTTGGGGGACCTCTTTTTGGGCCACTGTGGGGGGACGTGGGCAAACAGCAAGAAAACATGGTGCCCGGCCAGGACCTCCAGGCACGTGAGCTGGGTTGTCTTTGTGTTCAGAACCCAGCTGCCTGGGGACCAGGGTTCCGAGTTCTGTGCCGTGGCATCTCTCGGAGGTAATGTCACTTTCTGGGTCCCCTTCCCTGGATTTCCTGCTCAGATAGATTCTACCAGGTACCCCCATGGCAACCTGGGCCACTTCCTATTTGCCCTCCATGCCAGGTCCAGTCCACAACACTGACAGCAGCACAGCCTCCCGAACCCTTGGTTGGCGAGATGTAGCCAGGGCCCCTGCTGGGCACTCTGGTCTCTGGCTGCCGACCTGGCTCATCCTCCCTGCCAGGGAGCAGGCCATGCAGCGTCGGCAACCTCAGGCTCCCGTCTCCTATGGGCCCAGAGGAGCTCCAGATTGTGCAGCCTCTCCCTTGGGCGGTCCTGGGGAGTGGGCGACTCCTCTCTGCTGCCCTTGGAGGGGAGGCTGGTATCAGGCTCACAGCACTTGGAGGGTCCCATCCGAGAAAGGGCACCTGCACACGCCTCACCCAGGCCTAGCCAGCCCTGCTGGGGGCAGAGTCATCTCCCACCCGATGTGCCTGTTCTCCTGCAAAGTGGAATCCACCCAAACTCAGCCCTGCTCCTCTCTGGCTGTGCCCTATAGGGGTCTTGTGGGCCCGAATCAAAGTGCCAGGGCCACACACATCCTGCGAGTGCCGGCCACAGTGTTCTCAGGGCGCCCTCCTTGCTCACAGATGTCTGCTGACCCTGCACTGTAGTTTTATTTCCTTAGGGCTGGGTTACGGTTGGATGATGAGGCCCGAGGCATGGAGTGTCCACTGCTACAGTGATTAGCTCCTTGCTGTCCTGTCCACGCTAGCTGGCTCTCCCTTTCTTCTGTCTCTGTGTTCCTCTGACTCTGATTTTCTCTCTGCCTTTTGGTCTGTCCTCAGCTCCTTCTCTCTGTTTGTGCCAGTCCTTCTCTTCATGCCCATTTCTGCCCCAGTGTTCTGTGTCCCCCTGTGTTTCTCTCTGGGTTCCCCCAGTGGTGCTGACTCTAGCTCAGCTCCCCTAGGTGATCAGACAGTCCCCAGGCCCTGCGGCATCCCCGTGAGAACAAGTTGGAGATGCCAGGGTTCTTCTGCCCGTCGGGCAGAGTTCATACAGCTGAGGGACTGGAGGAACAGGGTTGCTGGGAGGGGAGGACTGGGTGTGCCCTGTGCTCTCCAGTGAGGGCAGTGAGAGTGAGTGAGGGGATGAGTGCACCCCATGGGGACAGAGGCCCTTCCTGGCTCCAGGTTGCCTGAATGTTGATGAAAATGATCTGGACGGCCACATTCCATGTTGCGTGTGAACAAACTGGGCACTGGGAGGAGACGCTGAATTTGGCCCTGGAGTCTGAGGTAAGGTTTTGTTGATGGAACCTCCATCTATTTTTTTTTTTTTTTAGATTTATTTGTTTATCCAAGAACTGGGGTATGGTCAGAAGCGCGGGAGGGTGGGAGAATTCATCAGAGCCACAGTGGAGAGCAGAACAGGCAGACTGACAAAGTACACTGCTGGGGGAAGCAGCAGGCAGCAGGAAAGGTCTGCGTGCCATGTGGGACCCTTGCTAGGCAGACGTGATCGAACTGGCTCTATAGAGGCTGAGGGCAGATTTGCAACTGCTGTGCCACCTGGGAGGCCCCGATGGAACCTCCATCTAAACGCATGGGTTGAGCTATCACGAAGCATAGAACCTGAACAGACGGCCTGCTGGGAGGAACGGGACAGCTCTGTGCTCTGGCTGTTCTGGCCACAGTCCAGGCACCAGCCCTGAGGGCTGTTGACCCAACAGGCAGATTGACTGAATTACACTGCTAAGGGGAACTGTGGGCAAGACATGTGGGGTCTGCTGCACCATAGATGGGTTTTCTCCCTGGCCTGGGCTCGACTCAGGACTCAGCCGTGACAGTGCTGAGACTTTACCCCTAGGCCAACATGGAGGTCCAACCAACCCAAATGGACAGATACCATGTATGTTACCTCGACTGTGGGGTGGGGATGATCCCAAAGTCACCATTTATTTGGTTCCTTCCCTGGGAATCCCCAGGCAACAATGGGAACAGAGGTGGCAGGCAGGTGAAGGCATCATGGCCTGAGAGGGCTGGGCAGTAGTGGTTTGGCTAAATGGTTCCCACTGAGGAGTTGGTCGTCTGCAAGGCAACAGTGAGGAGGAGGCCAGCCCTGTGAAGGGAATGGACATCAAAGGAGTGGACAGCTTGGGTGAAGTGAAAACAACTTTATTAGCATTTGTGCAGTGAACAAGAAACCTTGGAGGAGATACATGAAAATAACTAGAAATGAATTAGGAGACCAAGATTTGGAACTACAAGAGTAGGGCCAGGTGTCTGTGGGTAGAGGCCTTGTATAACTTAAAGGAGGGCATGTAGCTAGAGAGTTGGAGAGGAGAAGTTGGGGGTGCAGCAGTGCTGAATGGTCAGCTGCCCCTGATGTGGACAGGCAGGACAAGGGTGCGGAGCTGGGTCCCTTGAGGGGTGGTGTCAGGTGAGCACCCTCGGCTTGTGCTATGGATCCCTGCAGAGCCTGCTTCCCCAGGCAGGCTGCTGTTGCCTTAGCTCCCTCACTTTAACCTGCAGGAAGCTGGCCAGGGCTGCATCCTCCCGCAGGCCTGATGTGAGCTCAGGATCGCCTGCACAGGCTGCATTCTCCTGGGCATGGCCTGGCTCTCCCAGCGAGGGTAGGGTGAGCTCAGCACCATCCTCATGGGGTGCAGCATCCTGGTCATTGTCTGGTTCCTCCAGCAGTACTCCTCTTGCCTCAAAATCCTCAAAGAAGTGAGCAGGATCCTAAGTCAGAGGCCTTAATCAGAGACATCCTGCAGGGGAGGAGGCAGTAGAAGGACCAGAGGGTGGGAGGGAGGATCACAGGGGACTGAGGTGATGGTGCTCGGGTGCCTTGCAGAAGGAAACTCTAGGGGACTATATCTGATGGGTTGGGGGGAAGCAAATAGTGTGTATAAGTGAAAAGTGAAGTAAAAAATAAAAAAAAGAAGACTAAAAAAAAAATACAATCAAGCCTGCAGGATCGTCCTTCTGTTTTGGCTTCTCCAGCACTGGGGGTGTGAACTGCCCACACTGGGCAGCTCCTGAAACATCCTGGCCTATACCTGTATCCCACAGTGGGGCTGCTGTGAACACACCACTGCCAGCATGCCCTGCTGGGGCCTGGCTAGGGCCTGGCTAGGGCCTGGCTCCCCACAAACAGGTGGTATGAACTTGTGCCCAACAGGTTGTCCTGCAGGTTGCAGGTCCTGGCCTGGCTCCCCAGCAGGGTCTGGTGAGTGACCCCTGAATGCAGGGGGGGTAAGGCCAGTACCCCCACTGCCGCTCTGAGTCCTCAGTCACACCCATGGGTGGGTACAGCCCTGGTCTTCCTGTCCCAAAGTACAGCCACAGGCTGCTAGAGGCAGAGGGATGAGGTGTCCTCACGGTCAGGGGTTGGGCTTGGGTCTGCAGCCTCACTGGGCCCTAGGCTGGCTTTCATCAGCAGCGCCCCACCTGCTGCACAAAGCCCAAGGGGATCAGAGGATTGGCAGTGTGTTAATGAGTCCCTCCGGGTGCCGGCACCCCACGACATCCCTTGCCTATGTTCTTGTTGACCTCTGGGGGGATCCTCATGATCTTCTGGTGAGATCCTGCCAGGAGCCTCTGATACAGATAAGAAAATTGCGGCTCAGACAGAGGAAGCAGCTTGTCCCAGAGCCACTGCTGATCAGCTGGCCGAGTCAGCATTTGAAACAAAGTCCGCTGCATTCCCAAGCCAGTGGCCTGATGTCCATTATTGCCAAACCCAAGAAACGCAGCGGAAGATAACCCTTATGTCCCCTGCCCTCAGATAAGTGATCTGGGTGCAAAGGCGTGTTATGATTCACCCAGGGCCATACAGCAGGGAAGAGCGGCAGGCCGCTCTGAACTCTAGTCCTGCCGTAATCTTGATGCCACAGGGGGACTAAACTTGCCGTGCCAGCCTTGGGGAGGGTGCCCTCACTTTGAGCCTCAATATGTATCTCTGCTGGGACAAACGTGTCCTTCACATCCTGTGGGCTGCTGGGTTCTGGGTCCCAGAAGTGGCATCATCTCAGGGCTGTCACCGTGAAAAGGGCTGTGACTGGGCAAGGTGCCAGGGAGGCGCTGGTTGTCCCTTCCCCTCCACAGCCACAGGATAAAGGGTTCAGGGGAGCTTGAGAAGCCTGTCCCTCCCTGGGTGGCACTTGGGGCAGATCACCCCAACTTGATGAAACAACTTGGTCCTCATGAAGTCTGAGGGAGAGGGTGTGAAAGGGGCCGGGGGGGTGGTTCAGGACAGCAATGGGGGGCAGAGTGTCTCAGGGACAGTAGCTTCTAGAACGGTGGTTCTCCATTGTTCACCAGGGAGCATTTGCAAAGTCTGAGGTCCACAGCTTAGTGGCTGAGTGCTACTCAACCTACTGGCCAGGCTGGGTAGGTAGGGGCCAGGGAAGCTGCCCAACATCCTACAGGGCACAGAAGAGCTCCCACAACTGAGCATCATCTGGCCCTCAATGTCATCGGTGTCAAAGTTGAAAAACCCTTTTCTAAAGCAAGCTCCACGCGTCCTTCGCCTCCTCCAGCCTGGGTGGCTCCTACAGCTGGGCTGGGCCGCCATTTGCCAGAGGTGCTCTGCCAGGTGGTATGTGTGGGAGAGGAAGGGGTCCAGCTGTACTCCAAATTCTTAATTAAATTAGATCACATTACTGTCCTGCTCGGAACCTCCTGGGTCTCCCAGTGCTCCTCTGACAAAATCTAAACCCCTTTCCGTGGCTGCAGGCCCTGGCCCGGCTGACCTTCCAGCCCACTGGCTGCCTCCCCCAGTGCACACCTCTAGGTCTGTTGTCCTTAAGCACAGCCTGGCACTGGCAGGAATGTTCCTCCTTGCTCTCCTCAGGGCGGGCGCCTCTCTCCTCCCTTGTCTCCTCAGTGGGGCCTCTCCCAAACCCCCTGTGAGAGGCAGCCAAGCTCCCACCCCGCCCTTGTCCCGATCACGCTGGCCGGCCTCACCATCTGCTCGATGGACACTCCACACGGGCAGGCTCTCCGCTGGTTTCATTCTCTGCGTACCAACCGTTCTGGCACATTTTCATTACTGCTAGTATCTGCCTGAATCCTTATGTGAATTTTCTTATTTTCCAGCTTTCCTGTCTGCCTCCCCAACTACAGA